AGTTACTGCTGTCTCATTGTCCTCAATTAGGAGCTGACTGAAGACTCTATCCTTCTCTGTATGTCTTAAAGCATCTTTTAGTTGTTAGAATTCTCTATTCAGATGTCAATCACTATACTTCAGATATTTCAGTAGATGATTCACATTAAATAAGTATTTCTCTAGTATTTTAATGAAGTTTCAAGTTTTTTTAAAGACTGTCTTACAGTTAGTCTCACAATAAAGTGAAAAGCCCAAACACTTATGCCTGACACTTTAAGAAAATCATCACAGTTACATAGAAGCCCAGATTCTGTAGTGGATTGTACAACATTAACTAAGGCTTAATTCCCTGTCTTTGCTATATGTAGGAAGAAACTTTTAGCTCTCCAAGGCATTTCAAAATTACTTGGGGTTTCTTTATGTTTTTCATTTGAGTAACTCTTCGTACAACTTATATTTAATTAATTTGAAAAGGATTGTAAAATAACATCCCTTTGACAGGAAAACTTAAGGGTTGTAGTTGACTACAAATGTAGCATATGTAAGCAATTTAGTTAAAACAAAAAGCAAATTGTATTGATAGAAGTACAAAACTATATGGTATCCAGAACAAAGTGTGTGTGTGTGTGTGTGTGTGTGTGTGTGTGTGATGGTTTTGCTTTCTATTCTGTGTAAGACCATTTCTAGGATGATGTGCTGAGTTCTGAGTGCCACATTTTAAAAGACATGACTGACCAATGTGTGCCCAGAGAACAGGGACCATAGTATTAAGAGACTCCAAATTATCATTTGAAAAATGAGTGGTTTACTGAATAGAAGGCTTGATATTGGCACAAAGGGATATCATGTATAAGACGTATGACATTTTTTTCTGTGTAATTGCAGACAGAAGGAATAAGACTGATGGGTGAAATATGGGGAAGGTTAATTTGGGTTCAGAAAGCATTGATACAGTAACCACACAGTGAATTTCTTTTCTTTGCTCTCCACAATGCAAATGAAGCAGCAAAAGTACTTGACTTTAAGCTTTAAGTAGGGTTAGTGCCTCGTCACATTCTTTGGCAGAGTTGTTGTACATAAATGCATGAATTTATATTTGTCTTTATATTTAAGATCACCCATCGTGCTTGTTTTCTAGCTGTATGCACCTGAAATAGGTATGTACACACATATACATATACACTCAGAATAGATTTTAAGAGAGAAGTTGAGTTAGCTGCCGCTAATCACCCATACATACATTTCCATGATCAAGACATGTATTGACCCATAGGAATAACTAATAATAGGATCTCATTCATTTAAGATCAAAGTGTTTTAAATTGGCCTTATCTTCAATGTTAATGTAATTAAAATATCCCCATGCATTACCTGCATTAAGGATTCAGCAAATACAAAGAATTCAAAAAGTTTGAGATTTTAAACTCTATGCAATACATACATTTTTTTAACTTGGTAATTTATTTCTTAGAATGAAGTCCCAAAATATAGAAGGAAAAAATTCTCTCCTTGAAATAAAAGGATTAGATTGGATAGCTGAAAAACATAAAAAATATGTATTTTTATTAAAATTTCCTGAAACATTTAATGGACTGCCAACAGTTTAAGAACCATTAAAAAAAATCAATTTCTAATGATTATGGCTGAGAAAAGCAGAACTACAGTCAATAATGTAGAAGTTTGCCTTAGTAATAAACAAAATCAAAATCAGATTTACTTTTTTCTGCCTGTTTTATTGGTTTTAGTCCTAGAATCTTGGCATTCCACTTCTAATATTTTAGTTATTTTACACAATATTCAGGTAAATTTTCTCTTAATAAATATGAATGAATTAATGGGGAAGTATTGATATATTTCCAAGTAGACACTAAATTCATACAGAATGTTACGCTTCTAGAAAATATGTTCTAAGTAAAATGATAGGTCAATCTTTTAATACACGAATGTAATATTAGAATCTCAGATGTTTTAATCAAAGGCTGAATGCCTAACTGTTAAAAAAAAATCACCACAAAATAGTATATAACTTTCTACTTTCTGGGTTGAATGCTAGTTATTTGCAAATTTTTTTGTCTACCTGCTTGCTTTATCTTTATTTGCTTGGTCTCATTATTACTAGGTTTGTAAACTCTAGCCCTAGGGAATGTGATTTTTTTTTAAATCAGGTGTCCTTCAGACAACATATATTTCCTACATAATAAGAAATACATTGTTTCTAATGTTAAAAGAATCAAGAAAACAAATAATAATTTATAGTTTATGCCTAGCTATGCTTACTCCTGAAAAATACGCAGTTATTGCAAGGAGGTAAAATTAAATTCTGTGATCAGTTTTTCAGAAAGCAACCAGTTAATCCTAAACTTCACCTACTTTGTCCCAAAAACTTCTCAAGGAGGTTATTTTGGATTTCGGAAAGGGTACTTCTTGATTCTTCTGTGACATTAAAGACATGTTATGTATTATAGTAATAATCCAGGCAATGATACTATCAGCAGCAGTGTTAGATTTCTCCTGCTTTATGTTACACAGCTTTGTTAACTTGCCTTCCTATAGTTTGAATTTGTACCTGAAAAAGAACACAAGTCCTTTCATAGAAAAACCTATCATAGAAAAAAATATCCCTCAGAAACAAGTTTTGAAAGTTATGGTTTCTATGGGAATCATTTATTGTGATTTTCTTTTAATAATGAACTAAAGTATTGATTGGAAGCCAAAGAAGAAGCATCTTATTTCTTCCTTGGACTAAAATTGTCAGTAAGGAGTGACAGCAGGAGTTCAGAAAAAAGCAACTAATGTATACCTTCCAGTAATTTTAGGAGGACATTTATTTTATGAATAGAATTAAATTTGCCCTCAAACTGCTTGTGACACATAGAACTTTAAACCTGGGTGTCAGAGGGAGCATAAACAAAGGCTTCTTCTGTTGACATAAGTTAGGTTTTAGATAAACACATTTCCCATGAGATAATCGGTGATGTCCATTGAGTTATCGTTGAGTCTAGAATTAAGTTTATAAAATGCATTTAGTCAAGAAAGAGCAGAGGCCAGTTAATGCTGGCCACAGGAAAACACAGTACTTTAATTAAAACAATCATAAAACCTGTGTCCATTAAAGACATATTCTCAATATCACAGCTTTAGAGACTTTTGGTACCCAATTAACAGTGTGTGTGGGTGTAACACTAACCTGACATATGGCAGAGTAGGATTTTGGGTGCCAGTACTTAGAGCACCTAGTGCATGAGTGGGCTGTGAGTAAAGAAAAAGAGAAGATACTGTCACTACTTTTTTCCCAAAAAAAGTATTTTTGGCAGTGTATACCATATTGGCTTACTTTAGTGGATAATATCACATATCTCGTGACTGTGTGTAACTTGTAATATGATATAAAACATTATATTGGATCAACTGATGAAAATAATCTGCTCCTTATGGACAAGTGGACATACTTTTGTGATGAGTAACAGGAGCTCCATTTCCATAGACTGTTCCCTGATACCAAATACTTAATGTGTTTTCACTATTACTTTATCAAATGATATTGGACATTTCTAACAGATTTGTGTGATATATGATGTCTAGAACTATAACAATTTGTTTAATGATAGAAATGTATTTTTACATAGATAAGTAGGTTTTATTTTGTTGATTCTTTAACATTTAATTACATTTAGCAGCAAAGTTTTACTTTAGTATATACTGTGATGATAGCTGTTATACTGTAGAATACTTTGATAATTTAATCTAATCTAAGAAAACCTCAGTCTTTAAAATAATTTGTGTGCATGTATGTAGCAGTATATCTCTGTTAAGAACCACTAAAACTTTCTTTAAAATGTGTTAATTAGTGAAATAATGAAAATCTCCTTAGAGATTTTAAAGTTTAAAGATGTGATTTTTTTCTTCATAGATTTTGAATTTTGCTTAAAGAATTCAAATAAATCATAGCTAAAATGATTCTAGGAAATGTTTAAAAACTGTTATAAATTAATTATAAATATTTGATATAAATAAAGCAGGTCCATGAAATTATTAGTGTGTTTTGAGCTGTCTAAACCTGGAAACTCAGAAGCCAAGTAAATTCCTATAAGCAGGAAAATTCCTAAAACTCCATTGAGAATGTGCATATCCTCCCAGGAGTATCTCATTCTAGCCTGTGTGCTGTTTACAAACCAGACTTGTCAAAGAGATGACCCCAGAATTCCAGCAATGGAAACTGATAGGCATCTGCCTTTTTACCCAAGACAGAAACGAGATGAATAGAAAGAACTAAAAAGTCTTCCAAGTAACTGCTTTATATTAAATGACATTGGGTTTGTGTTCAAAATTGATCTAATGGCAATCAGCAGCTATGGGTAAGAAAGTAAACATTCTTGTACATGTATGAGAATATATACACACATACATATATACATAATATATGTACTGAGAGAGAAAAAATTCTGATTTTGGCAAGAAGTCACTTAAAGCCAGAATTAAATCTTTTTCCAAAGAAAGTGTAGGGAGAGAGCTAGGTGTGCAGAGTTGAAGTGTATGAGCTCAAATTCCAGTTTTACCACCTACTTACTATGGAGTGACCTGTAAGAAGGTCATTGAGGCAATATTATCCACCTGATAGTTTTGTTGTCAGAACAGTTCCTGGCCCATAGAAAGCACTATGTCAGACTTTAATATTATTCCCAGAGGTTTCAATAAGAGAAAATGTAATGAGATACTAAATAACTAATGTGGAAAAACATAGGCTGTAGGGGACCTCAGTCCCAACCTCAGGTAAGGTAGGTGACCTCTGGCATGTTACCAAACTTCTCAGAGTCTCCATTTCCCTATTTTAAAAATTGAAGTGTGACAGTCCTGAATTTGGGAGATAAGAGATAAATGGAAAATCCTTGCACGTGATAGATATTCAGTATTGGGCTATTTTTCCCCACAACACTAGAGGTGTTTGTTAAAGACCACAAAAACATCTGTGTTCACGTGTCTTTATGAATACTAAACATTATTCTGTGTACTTCTTTTAGGGTGAAAATGGTTTACATGGTGCTCCAGGATTACCTGGTCAAAAGGTAAAGAGTTCTTAAATGTTTCATCTGAGTTAAGAATCTTAATATGTTGAAAAATAAATATGCACATAGTATTCTGAAAATATATTTGATTAAGCTGAATTTCCTCAAAGACTTTTAGAAAGCTATGGATGTCTTTTCAAAGAGAACTCATGGAAGCAATCCCCTCTTGAAGGGACCATTCTAGGAGGAAGCTTTGTCACAGAGCTTTAGTAATATGCTTCTTCAAATAAGTCAATAATAGTGCTTTCTGGGGGCTATGGAAGTGTACTTAGCTGCCCTGGAAATGTTTCCAGTTTTATCAGTCAGAGTCCAAAATGTACAATAGAACAAATCGTACTTCCTTTGGCTGGTTTTGGTTACCTTTTGCTTATCTACCTTTTTGTATATTTCAAAAGAGCTAAACATAATAGTTGCAATGACATAAAATACTAAATATTACAAAGATGCTGAAGACAACTATCTTTTCGAAAATATTTTTCTTTCAGAAGAAGGCATTCCTAATAAGTAAGGAGTTTTGCTTGGACCAGCCTGCCTCTTTCTATGCCTAGTATCTTTCTCTTTCTCTTTACCAAGGGGAACTTCCTTTGTGCTCCTCTACTATCCAAGGGCTGCTTTCTTCTTCTGGGAAGAAGCCTGGTTATCTGTGACCAGCATTACCAAAAACACAGAGACTATTATATTCTAGTTTCTTGAAGGGATGGGGAGCCACTTCAGGTGGGACCAGCTGTCATGGTATCATCCAGATAATCCCACCACAGGAGAGAGAGCGTTATTGATGTAATATTAGATGCCCACCAAAGCCAAGCATATCATTTCTATGCTCTGGAGATGTTTTATAGGTTTTGGCAACAAGATGCCAGAAGTTATTATGCATATAGGTTTTTCTGTGTAGCTGAAAATATCATTTAAAAATATATGCACTTATTTATAGTTACAGATTGTGTTAAAAATTTATTTACTTGGTGCAATAAAGATAATAAGATTGAACTGGCAGCAATAAAATGGCAGGCTTCTGAATTTCTTCACAGCAGCTCTAGACAAAACCCATTGATACAGCATGTGCTGCATCTGCGAGTCAAGTTGCAAGCCAGCCAAGGGATGTGCAGATTTATCTGCTGGGAAATAGTTTTGGACTTTCCAGCAGCTGTTTGTGGTGGCTGCATTATGCTGACATTGTGGCTGATGTACCGGAGGCATTTAGCAGCTTCAATGTCAGCTTGAATTAACAGATCAAGTTAAAGTTTATATTTTAGGAAAAAAGGTAGAAAAAATGTAGACCATGCATTCAATAATAAAAAGCAATACCTAACAACTAACATATATTCTTTCTTGGTGACTTTTTGAGGGTAGATGAAGCAAAAATAATTATTTAATTATATGCATGTGACACACACACACACACACACTTACACATGTATTGTTTAATCATCAAATTATATTATCTAATACTATTTAATTATATAATAATATACATATATGCAATTATGTATTTAAGTGGGTATATATATATATAAAATAACATACTCACAAACTAAATATGTATGTATCTATGCATATAGATTTCTACATATATATATATAGCAAAAAGCTGGCATTCCCTTTCATATAATTAATTGAAATTTTATATGCCAAGGGTCACCTTGTTGTGGCATTACAGAAAAAAACTACAGATCAGAAACCCTCTATCTCTTGTCTCTGTACACTCAATAAATGCTTGCTAAATGCTTCTTATGCTCAAGGCCCTCCATGGGTAGAGAGATGTACATGACTCATCCCCAACGTTCACTTGCTGGCTATGTTGTCATGAGTGCCTGACATGTACAAGGCACTCAGTGAACTTTTGTTGAATGTATGAATGAAACATCAGTTAAGGGGGTAAATAAGCTTGTCAGATCAGAGAGAGTGTAGACGAAGAAAGGGAGACTTATACCTTTTAGAATAAATATCGTAATTGAGAGCCAGAGCCCTCAAAGCACCAATCCTCTTTCTGTGACTGAACCAGGATAGTAGACAGGAAAAAGCATAGCACTTGTGTTGAAGGTAGAGCCAGAAGCCAAGGGTTCAAACCTGAGCTCATTCATCATGAGACACTCATCAGAATGGTATTCCATAGAAGTCAGCTTTCTAAGAAGGCTGTTTCCACTAAATCTAGTAAAAGAAATAATAATAAGAATGGCTAACTTAGTCTTTGCCAGGCATTGTGAGGATGCATCAAATTCTCAAAACAAGCCATTGAGGAAGATTGTATTATCATACTTATTTTATTCCTGAGAAAATTCAGGCTTATCAAGGTTAAATTGCCTTGGAAATTGTGAAACTGTAGCTTATACCCTAGAAAATCATTTATTTAGTATTTAGAAACATTTAAATCTTAAGTAACTTAATATTGGTTTAGAGTTTACATGTTAGAAGTGGTTATTTATAATTACTGATTTTTAATTGTTAGAAACATCATTTTTATTGTAAAAATTGCACATGTTATAGTATCATTTTTATTACTATACACGTCATATTACTCTTCTACGGGGAGAGCAAGGTTTTGAAGGCAGCAAAGGAGAAACTGGTGAAAAGGCAAGTATCTCTTTTTACAGTCACATCTATAAAAGTAAATGTGTTCTTGAAAATGTTTTGAAATAGAATATTTAACTTGTTTTGTGCATTCCCTAAAGCAATTCAATAATTTTATAGATATAACTAAAACATTTGCTTTAGTTAGGTAGAATAAATATATTAATGATTGCCAGAAATCTTTCTAAACTTATTTGGAAGGTATTAATAGTTAAATATTTCTAGTTAAATTTGTTTTATTGATATGGAAATGATTTAAACATTGATAAAACATATTTTTATATTATGAAATCATTTACTCACTAAGTGTCCAATTGTTTAAATAAATGCTTTGTTTATATGTACACCTGTTTTATCAGTGGAATTTTTTTCCTGAAGGAATAAATAAGAACAACTAATTGTCAAAGTCAGGATCCCACAGAAAGGAGATGCCATACTAAAACTGGAATACTTTAAAAGAGTTTAATAAAGGCATGGTTTAAAAAGTGTGGGCAAAGTATAAGAAAACTACAAGCATTGTGCAGTATCCCAGTTCAGGTTACAGCAGACTCCTTAAACCCCACATGATTATGAGACCCAGAGGCAGAGAAAACTCTGGCAAAGGCTAGAGACAGGAGCTGAGGGTAGCACTCAATCCAAGGTAAGCACATAAAGGAGGAACCAGGGCAATAAACACCTCCATCCCACTATCTTCCAGCCCTCAGCTCTCTATGGGACCCCACCAGCCAAATCAAATTGAGAGCCAGTGGGATGGAGGAATCCTATAAGGCACAGCCTCCCGAAGTCCAGAGCAGGGGGATAAGAGTGGACAGTGGATCTTGAGGGACCAAAGGCAGAAGTCATACCGCTAATCTACGTGCTGTCATTTAAAGCCACCTACTTACAAAACTAGATTCTTGGTTTTGTGATTAATTTTAATAGAGTATTCTATGAGTATTTTAATAGAGTATTCTAATGTTAATAGAGTATTCTGTTTTAATAACTACTGAAAGTCATTTGATAGTGAAAATATTTAAAAAAATCATTGTTTTACAAATTCACAACTTTCTATTGAAACTACAGAGAATAGAATGCTTGATTATCCAAACTTTTCCTTCAGATAAACATTTGAATCCTTTTTCATTTCAAAATTGTTTGTTTTAAAAAAAAATCGTTCTTTTGTAACTCTTGCATACGTCAAGTGTATGTATGGAATTATATGGCCAGAGAATAGCTAGAAAAGAGAATAATCTCAAATTAGACAGTATTGCTTGTATTAAGCTTTCTTGCCAATGATCAGTTATTTGTTTTTTCAATAAGTATTTACAGAGAGAATGAGCATCTATTATAATTATAAGACAAATTACATATGTTACAAACTGCATGATAATTACTTTTCCTCACAGAACTCAGAAAGAGAAAAGAATGGCCATACTTTTAGAGATCATTTCATTAAATGATGACTATTTTTAAGGTGAATCTCTTTTCTTAGAAATCCCTTGAACATTTTTGCTTTAGAATAACAATCATTGGAAAGCCACGTCTTCAAATAAATTCTTTGGTTATACATATTCCTGATTTATTAAGTGGGATTTTACCTGTAGGAATAAGTAGTGAATAAGCAAAGACAGATTTATTCTCTGTAATTTAAAGTCACTGATACACTAAAGTCTTAGTAGTTGTTTTGAGAGTTTATATACATAGTTGGTATAGCTCAATAATAAATAGATTCTCACAGGCTATAATGCATTAGAAAACCATTCACCATTTTGACTTCAAGGATTTTCCTTCTGGTTCCTCATATCTATTAACTATTGCATTCAAATAGTCAATTTCACCACAAGGTAAAAATATGTTTGTAGAGTGATTGAAATATATTAGAAAAAAATAAAATATCAAACAGAAAAGACAGTATGTACCTTGACTAAGAATCCCAATTTAGATGATTTATAGTTAAATGCAAGATTCATGTAATAACCCTTATGTCATTTTGATTGGTGCAAAAGTAGTTACGTTACACCAACCAAATAAAAATGGTGTTCTGCTTTATTATTTGCTCTATATTAAATGTTTGAGTTTTTTCCACTGTTAGCATACTACGTATTCTGACCCAGAACTACAAGTATTTTTGCATAAGATAAATAATTGAGATCTTGTAAGTTAACTTTATTTCTAGATTAAACAAGAAAAGTCTACAAAACACACTGGTGTGACAACAGCATGGGATTCTTGAATTACTCACAACATAATTTGTTTTCTGAACAAAGTCAATCTAACTTGGGCTTTAATTTTTTTTGGAAAACTGAGTATACAATTTTTTTTAAACTCACATTTCTTCTTTAATTACTCTATTGTGGCCTTTACTGTGTTTAATTTGGCTGAGTGATAAGTCACCAATTGCAAAGTACAATAATTCAGGAAGTTGTTATTGGTCAGATATGTCATATCTTCCA